TAAAGTAAAATATTTTATTCCAACAAGGGGCAGACTTAACAGATAATTAGAAAAGTTGTAACCAAAACTGTGGTCTCATGAGTTTTAAAAATATTTAGGGAAATTTTTTGAATATGAGAAAAAAGAAGTGAGATTTACATTACAGCCAGGGTTTATAAAATGAATACTCATGAGAATCCATATGATTGAAACAATAAATACCATAATAATATCAACTCTGGGGATTTAAATAAACTCTGCGGATTTAAATAATTACTCCACATTATTCCGGTACATTGTTTAATACATGCCAGTTTGTCCTGATAGACGCTGGCAACAGATAGCTGTGGATGACTTGGCTGCCATACTGGGGCGCGGAGGCAATAGGGAAACAGGCAGAGATAGAAACATACACAAGTTGTGGGAGAAGAGTCTGCAGGTAGGTGAAGAGAATGTGAGTTCAGGTTAATCAGATCTAAAGCAAAAGGTGGGCTCTATAGAAGCATGTCTTCATGTTTGGCAAGGGAGAGTTTACAATCTACAATTCTGCCTTTTGAAAATCCAGTGGTTCTTCCATCATGCACTCTGGAACCATCAATTTACCAAATGAAGTTTGCAAAACAGATAGCATTTCTTCCTTTTAAATACAAGTAAGAAATGCAGTTCAATAGAGGCCATGGGGGAAAAGCTGAATGCTCCCTGTGCACAAAAGATCAAACAAGTGATGTGTCTGTTCAGAGAGAAGATTCAGGGAGCCCACATCAGTACCAGGAAGCAATTAAATTGATAATTTAAAAAGTTTATGGAAGTAATGACTATGTGAGGCTGTGTGTGTGTGGAGAATGTGGATATGTGGGGAGTATAGATTTAGAGTGATTAGAAACTAAATTTTTACTTTAAAAATTATTGGTTTTGCTTAGATTTAGTATTTCTCTTCAATGTCACCTTCCAAGGTCACACAGTTTCTTTCATTTTAAATTGAAATCTCAGAATAACACAGCTCTCCACATGTTAGTTAAAAAACATAACTTTAATACAGGGAATGGAAACTATGAAAACTATTTCTGAATATTCTAATGGTTTGTCTACTTGGGTTATGCTTCATATGTAGTTATTGCTATGAAATTGAAAATTGGGTAATAGTTATTTATTAAATATTAAAATAATCATAATTTGAACTTTTCAACTTTATAATTAACAGATATATGTATGTAAAAATTTGGGACATTTCAATGGATGGATTAGGACATTCAAACATAATTTCATAGACATTTATACATTTATATGTGTACATATATGTGCATGAATATGATATACATATTATATATGTATATATACATGCATATATGTATACATAAATAATTATTTGTTTACATTTATTTTCCTATTCATTGTGTGTGTGTTATGATGTGCCAAATTCTATACTAATTCCCATAGTTAAATAGCAAATCATGCATAACCTCTCCTCATGTAAGTTATAATTCAGTAAGGGAGATGGAAAAGAAAATAGGCAATTTTAGTGCTATACATTTGGGAAAGAGACAAGTCCAAGTTGTTCTTGGGAAGCATAATATACAAGAGCAAACTACTTCAAATTTGAGAAATCATGGAAATCGTTCCCATGGAAAATGGAAGGTAAGGACTGAAAATTTTGCAAGCAAAATATAAATACAATCTAATCACAATATTGAAATGATTGAGCTTCATTTGAGTAATGACTATATAATTACTGATATTTTCAGCCATCAATTTCATAATCCCTTAATATCTTGTTATATCAGTTGGCAAACACGTCCTTCCAGGGCAAACAATAAAGCCAAAAGTAATATAACTAGAAGCCTAACATAGAAAAGAGAGCACAACTCATGGCCTCTCACTGCAAGGCATTTACAGGCCAGCCATGGCGCAAGTCTATTATCCATGAAATAAGAGCGGACAGCGTAACAGTATTTGAACATGTGCTAGGATGAAAGCACCATAATTACCTCAGAAAACTTATCTTCCTTCAGGCTAAAAGCCATGTCTCAATCATACTCCTATTGCTGGCTTGAGGGTGTATATTTGGGAGTAGGTAATATAAAGCATAAATCAGGGGTCATGAGAGAGCTCTATTAACTTGATACCATAGGTAAAAGGATACCAGTTTATTTGGGTAAAGAAAACCAAATATTAAAGGTACTGCCTTAAAGTAGATTTATCTGGAGTTACTGCCCATGATCTGTGTGGAAGAAAAATAAAGGAATAGTAGAGGTGGGATCCAAAGTATTTGGAAGTCAAGATGATGGTATGAGTGTTCCGAAAGAGGAGTGAGGAATCACGTGACAACCGAGGAGGAGCAGCTGCTTCATAAGATTACTGGCTAAGTTAGGGCTGAAGAGATGCCTCAACTGGTCATAATACACACCCATATATGTGCATAACACCCACAAATGTGTGCACGATAAGACATACACACACACACACACACACACACACACACACACACGATTGTATATCAGTGGTGGCAGGTAAAATAAACACCAAAAGAAAAGGTTGGGGGAAGCAGTTTGGCGAGATGCTTATGAAGGGTGAATTTGGCATATTTTACTTCTTGCTTTCAGTGAGAAAGAAGTCTCTGAACAAATGACTAGTTAGTACTTGAAGATCTAAGAACATGGTGAAACATGGATCTGCTTATAACCAAAGTCTTTAGCTTTACAATATGCCATATACTTAGCTGATACTTCCTGAAACCTTCCATGCTCATGCAGTTATGAGAATGTTGGGAACAGAACAGTAAACACAGGAAGTAATTCCTCTACCAGAGCAGACTGACATTTCAATGAGTAACAAATAAATAAAATGCAGTGAGTTCTAAAGAAAATATTGAACAAGAGTAAAAATAAAGGAGTTAAAGGAGATTGGACAAGATTTATTTTAAATTTTATAATTTTCTCTCTCTGTCTCTCATATATGTGTATAGACATACGTATGCCATGGTGCATGGATATAGTCCAGAAGACAGATTGATGATGTCAGTTCTCATGAAATGGTCTCCACCACAGCAAGGGTCTCACAGGGTCCGCCCAACAGGACACAGTCATTATTTTGACATACTGCCTAGGATATTTACCGTGTTTCCTCATTTACCTCATTCTGACCTCACCATTAGCTGTTCAATGTGGTAGATTAAACAAAGGAGACAACTTGAATTTTAAGTTCTTAATCATTTAGCTCTCCAGAGAGACTGTGACTTCAAGACAAAAAAAAATATTTATCACTAAAGATACTGGAAACAGAACCTGATGTAGTTGGGATGCTGTGAATATATGAATCCCAGATATTGAAGGTTGACTGTGTTGTCAGAAACTGCCTTTACCCAATGAGCAATCTTACCACCCCAAGACTTATTTTAAAGATATAATAATCATAATTATTAATAATAATAATAATAATGGCAGGTTAATAAAGCAGTAACACTTAAATATACTGGTCACAATTGAATTACAGTTTACAAGAAAGACCAACAAACAAGTTGAAAAACACTTCTGAGAACAACAGAATAAGGCAGCAGAAGAAAGTGATTTAATGAGATAGCTGGATCTTTTTTTTAATTTAAATTTATTTATTTATTTATTTTTATTTATTTATTTATTTATTTATTTTTTGGTTTTTTCGAGACAAGGTTTCTCTGTGGTTTTGGAGCCTGTCCTGGAACTAGCTCTTGTAGACCAGGCTGGTCTCGAACTCACAGAGATCCGCCTGCCTCTGCCTCCCGAGTGCTGGGATTACAGACGTGCGCCACCACCGCCAGAAATAGACAGAAAAACAGAGAGACAGACATATTTGCACAAACACACACACACACTGTAGACTGGAACGAATCACTGCATGTGCTTGAAGTCGGCGCTCAGTTGTGAAGAGCAGAGGAAAGGTTCCAGGGAGCGTGTGATGCATGCAGGTGTGGCAGGTAGGGCAAGCAAGACTTTTTCTTGGAGACCTAAGAGCAGGCGATAGAGTGAGGTGGAGACTCAGTGGGCTCCATGAGTGGGTCGGAAGCTTGCGCGGGAGCGCTCCGTGTCCGGTGTTTGTGTGTCGTCGGTGTGATAGTGGCGGTGTGTAGGCTGGGTGTGTCGGGTTCTGCCTCGTCCCCGCAACCGCTTCCCATTTCCCTCCCCCTCCCCCGATCAAGTCCCCCTCCCTCATCTGCTCGAAGAGCAATCAGGGTTCCCTGACCTGTGGGAAGCCCAAGGACTGCCCACCTCTATCCAGGTCTCGTAAGGTGAGCATCCAAACTGCCTAGGCTCCCACAAATCCAGTACGTGCAGATAGCTGGATCTTTAAGACTTGGAAACTTCTGGTTGCTTTTTAACTTCTACCCTTGGGATTACAGAAGCCATTGCAAGTTTCGAGTCAAGGAGTGGTGCTGCAGGCTGATGGACACAATGTGGATATTTTACCCTCCATCGTGATTTCATGAGGAGATGGGATGTGATGAGCTCATGAGTGTCGATCATTTCTGAATGGGAGTTTATGAAAAGAAAGGCTCTACAATCTTATTCAATTGGCTATTCTGAAAAGAGGTGGCACACAGGAAATGAAGGAGGAAGGAGAAAAGGATCTTGTTCCAGGACATTAAATTCCTGGAATATACCATTTCTTGTTTGTGTGAATAAAGATTAACCAGATGGGAGAAGCATACATATGTTTGAATTTCTTGTACTAAACACAAGTTTTATAGTATTTGATAAAAAGACTCATATCTGATTTTTCTTATACCAGTGAATACCACCAATAACCTTGTCTGTGAGCTTGATACTCACACATCAGTCAAACTTTCTGATATGATTCATCTCTCAGTGATAGGGTGATTTTACACTTTGACTGTCTTTGAGTTAGTTACTAATAAATAATCATATCAGAATTCTGGACTCACAGCGTGTATAATAATTGTGTGTGTAGTTTCAAGACACTGCGTTTAGGGCACCATTTTGCAGTAGTAGATAAAAGAGTACAATACTAGAGTAAAATTAGTCACTTACTTGATGTTCTAGTGGTGGAATGACATCTTTCAAGACATGCTGTGAATGATTCCTTCTGTGCCGGGAAATCTGCAAACACATTGACATTTGATGCCGTTACATTGTTTTTCTTTACAAAGTTGAAAATAATTTTAATGAGCACAATTTAGTAAATATGTAAATGCAAATGAACATATTAAAATTTAATTAAATAAGGATAATAACATAGATATAAAATGAACAATGCATTAGATGTTAAGTCATTTGAATAAAATTTGCATTTCAACATGGCTGGCTGGAAAAATAGTTTATGTGCTTTTCTAAGGGTTGAATTTCCTCTTATCAAGAATGAAATTAGTATTCCAATTTTGGACCTCACCAAACCTTTATACCCACTTTAACTAAATTATACAATGCAAGTGCCACTATATGGCATTAAAAGTTAGAACATGAACTTGATATGCATATCCCTCTTGGAACTCTTAACTTGGACAATAATCCTAATACGATAAGGAAGCTCAAATCATTCCATTCAGTATGTCCACAAGGAGAGGCTTTGCCATTTTATGGTTGGTAGAGTAATGAGGGTCTAGTAACAAACTTTAACCACCAATCTTATGACTATGAAACTTCTTAAGGACTGGCTCACCCCGACATGGAGTAGCCTCAACCTTCAAACCTCTAAGCTGTCCTGGAATACCATGAAAGGGAGACAAGCTGAGCTTAGGCTTTATTCAGAAAAAAAAAAATTGCTTTTGTTACCAGACTCTAAGGAGAATAAAATAAATAGTTTACATCTTTGTGTTTCAGCATCTTAAGTTGCAGGAACTGAGAAAAATATTTCATGCTGAAATGTGATGTGATGTTTATGATGCCAGCTCATGATTCTTAAAGTATGTGCTGTGTTATTTTCACCTCTTCCTTTATTGTTCAGATGCCAACAAATACACAAAAGTCACACGGCACATTTTCTCTGAGTGAAGAAGAATGAGAGTTATTGGTCTTTCTCCAGGAGAAGCATCATGGACAAATTTCATCATTAAAGAAGAAAGGGGGGGGGCTGGTGAGATGGCTCAGTGGTTAAGAGCATTGCCTGCTCTTCCAAAGGTCCTGAGTTCAATTCCCAGCAACCACATGGTGGCTCACAACCATCTGTAAAGAGGTCTGGTGCCCTCTTCTGGCCTGCAGGCATACACACAGAATATTGTATACATAATAAATAAATAAAATAAATATTAAAAAAAGAAGAAAGGGGGAACTTATGATTTAATATGATCTATAGCTTTCATATTTTATATGAAAGAGAGAGTTAGAAAGAAGAAAGCAAAGAGAGTAAGAAAGTAGTGGACCCAAGCAATAAACCAGGTCTTAACACTATAAGTAGTGATGAAAACGGTCTCGTGTGTTGGGCTCCGGTTACTGGTATGTTTACCAGACTGAAGAAATTAGATCAATGTCTGTGAAGATGTTGAGGTAATTGTATTGCCAAAGAAACCAGAAGCTGGGCCTAAAATCCAGTACCTATCCAACCCTGAAGCCCATTATTTGTTCCACAAAAGCTGTTATGAAGAGAGCAAAAATTGAGATCATTCTCTCCACTGTCCAACTGGAGTCTGGATGGGCATAGTGCATAGGGAAGCACATTTACAAAACGGACACACACACTATAGGATAATGGACGTGAGGTGTTCTCCCAGGCAGAGGAACTAGAAATGGTCTTCACCACAGCAAGGGTCCCACGGGGTCTGCCCAACAGGACACAGTCATTTTAACATTCCATGTTTTCTCATTTACCTCACGCTGTCTTCACCATTAGCTGTTAAATATGGTAGATAAAGCAAAGAAGACAACTTGAATTTTAAGTTCTTAATTGTTTAGCTCTCCAGAGAGACTGTGACTTCAAGACAAAGAAAAATTTATCACCAAAGATTCTGGAAACAGAACTTCATGTAGTTGGAGGCTGTGATAATTTATCGTCGTTTTCAATGTAATTGGATCTGAAATCAACTAAGAAACACATATCTGGCCTATTCATTAAAAGCATTTCAAGGAAGGATTAGCTGTGGATTAGGGGAGACCCTCTACAATTTGGGCAGCATCTTTGGCCAATAGCCTGGAAGACAACTGGTCCAGGAGAAAAGCGTTGTTGCAGCCTACAGGCTTTGACTCTTTGCAGTTTAGCATGCATTTCTTCTTGTGGTTGTCACTGTGGTTGCTGTAAGAATCCAGCTTCTTTGACTTTCCAGTGTGAACTTAAGACCAGCAGCTCTTCAGGAATGCTTTAGGTCATCAGCACTAGACCAAGATTGATGGGGAATCTGAATTCTCAGATGTTGGGCTGTCTCAAGTCTATAGACAGCCACTGCTGGAGCACCTTCCCCCATCATTTATGCCAGCCTCCAGTGTATTGGTTAGAATTGTCTAGAGGAATGGGACAGACTGGGGAGAGGAAGATAGACACATTTCTAAGTGTTGGAAAATAGATACAAAGTAAAAGAGATAAAAGAAGAAGATGTACTCTTGTACCTGGACTTAGCCTACGTTACATCTAAGGCTTGCCATTTGACTAGTTTAAGCTAAGAGAATATGAACAGAAACAAAGCTATAGCTATATCAACAGCCAACACTGTTCCAAATTCTCTCTTTCTTTTGACAATTGGCTAAGAGTCAAACTAATCTATGTGAAAGGAGGCTCAGGACCCTAAGACACCATGGAGAGGAAACTAACCTAGCTCAGAAAGTTTACTTCTATGAATCATTTTACTTCAAACTTTTGGGGAGGAATAGTTTTCTATTCAGAAAAAAATTCAGAGCCTCCCTGTAGGAAACAGCCTTCTCTTGCATAAGTGAGGAATAAATTCCTATTTCTTGGAGCCATTATGTGGTTTAGAGAATTTGAAATAGCAAAAGTAGTCAATGAGAGGAACCCTAGAAACCCCAGCTTCACAGTGGCTGCCTCTGCTACTCAGCAGTAAGAAATGACCTCTCTCTCTCTGTCTGTCTCTGTCTCTCTCTCTCTCTTTCTCTCCCAGAGATCTGTCTGTCTCTGCCTCCAAAGTGCTGGGATTAAAGGCCTGTGCCACCAATGCCCGGCCTGCAACCACATCTCTTAAGTACTCACTATACTATAATTGTGTCCATGCAACATACATGTTTTACAAGTAAGGGTGGAAGATTCCTGAATGATAGAATCTTTCAGATTTTATTTCCCTAAAAACCAGCTATTGTTCTAGTTTGGGTGCAGAAGACAATGACCTGGAAACTAAAATATCTTAAGTAATAGAAACAGTAATGCCTACTAAATTCCAATGTTTCTGCAGGGAACCTGGTCAGCCCTGTCACTCCATGTCCTTGTTTCTTCCAGCATTATTAGTAGATTTGAAAGGGGAGAGTGGACCACCAGCCTCTAAGGGTCCCTGTAACTCACCTTGTGAACATTTTCCTCTAAGGCAGGCTTTCAAATTTGGCTTTTTTCTTAATATTAGTTTTAGCTGTGATGGTTTAACTTTAATTATTAGTTTAAATATATATTATATATTTTACATAGTTAAATATATATATATATATATATATATATATATATATATATATATATTCGAGGCAGGGTTTTTCTGTAGTTTTGGATCCTGCCCTGGAACTAGCTCTTGTAGACCAGGCTGACCTCGAACTCACAGAGATCTGCCTGCCTCTGCCTCCTGAGTGCTGGGATTAAAAGCGTGCACCACCACTCCCTGGCAGTTTAAAAATCTTAAGGTTTTGCAGAAAGATTATCATATCAAAGCCATTTACTAGTCTCACCACACATTTTACTTTAAAATGAAACTGTTAAAATTATATTAAACGAGTAAATAGGAACGAAATATGGGGAAACTCATAGAGAAAGCCAATGATTAAAATCTGAAATAAATGTTAATGAGAAAAATTGAGAGAAATGTCTATTTTGAACACATACTTGGTTTTCTCTTGATATGGACCATTGGATCCATGATCTAGTTGAACCAAATTTAAATTCAAAATGATGAAAAGATGCTGAAATTTATGGAATATTAAGTTGCCGGGTGCGATTGAAGGCTTTTTGCATACATTAGAATGTTAAATCTCAGAAACACTTTAAGAAGTCAATCATATTATCCTGTTTTATAAATACTGACACAGTTTGAGTTATTTGGTGAATCTATACCTAACAAAAGCACAGATAATGTTTTAACTTGGATCAGTATTTACATACTTATCATGTTTTATACAGCTATCATCCTTTGCATAGATGGATCACATATATATTATACACACACGTATATATAATATGTGTATCTCATCAGTAAGTAAAGTTATGGGGAGCTGAAAATTTGAGTCCTTTCAGTGCGGAAGAGAATGTTTCTAAGGTAGATGTTTGAGAAAGAGTCAAGCATTTAAATTTGCATGCATTAACAGCAAAGCTAGAAATCATTTTCAAACCATTTATAAACCATCTTAATCCTTCTTTGGGGGAGGTAATACTCCTGATCATTCCTAACTCAATAAGCTGCTGATCTGTCATATTCAGCTGAGTTCTGAGGGTGTTGAAAACAGAGGCCTTTCCTCACCCATTCTTTACTAAAAACAGTCTTCCCTGGAAAGCAAAGAAACATGTTATTTCAACCAGATTAGACTGACTGAGAGTTATGGTTTTGAAAATTCTGTTTTCATAATTGGCTTGGTTGCTACATATAGATATCGGGAAAAGTTAGGATACGTCAAACTGTCTTTCCATCATATATGTAATTAAAATGATAAATATGAAGAAAACTTGTGAACAGTCAAAATTCTCATGAAATAAGTTTAGAGGAAAAAAAGACTTAAACTGAATTATAAAAAAAACGGAAATTTCATAGTACCTTTATAGACATTAACTAGTTACTAACTATTGACTGTTTTGGTAAGTTGTCTTAGGATACCCCTTCTACATGACAGTTTAAGACAGTAGATCCCTATGATCAATGAGTGTTGCCAGAACAATCTTCATATTCGACACACACATTTCAGTAATTTCTGAGTAGATCATTGAAGTACATTTGTTTATGTTACCAAATATTTCTACTATGAGCATAGGA